ATAAAAAAGGATGATTCATGGTCCCCACTCATGTTTTTAGAGTTCTTACCAGAATTAAAGATATTATGAATCAACCAATTATATTTATCAATATTTAAATTAAGAAAAAAGGACCAACACTTTTATCGAATTACTGCTTTGAAAGGTAAGAATAAAAGGAACAAAACCAGCCTGGTTAAATGCAAAACAAAGTAAAGTTGAAATGTGTTAGTTGCAAACATCTCCGAGACTCATCAAGCAATCGAACTGGGTTTGGTCTTTTGAAACCTATTTTACTTTTTGGTGATTCGTTAGATTTCGATAATGTTTTGTCTCTTTCTCACTCCAATAATAACTTGCGTATTTTAATTTATGTATTTTTTTACTTCTCATTTTATAAGGATTCTACCAATACATTAAGAGCGGTGTTTCAGGAACATCCTAAAGTTCATTTAACCCAGTGTAAGACCTAGCACAGTTTCAGGTATAGTGAAACACCAAGAATGTTCTTTTACACTACTCGGTGTCAAGTAACTGCCACCATTTTTAATTTTCCGTTACAATGATATTTGAAATAAAACTAAGATTAAGGTGCAGATAAAAATCCGTAAAGTTATTCAAACGAGATATATTAAAATAATAATAATTAATCTAGAACGTATGTACACAGTAAAAAAAATTGCCTGTATCCCGACCTTCAAAACACGGTTTTCAATTTAACTGGATGGTATTAAGCCCCACCTTCATTTATGGTCTTCAGGTTTTTATATTTAAGCACGATACACACAGTAAAAAATATTTGTGCATCTAAACACCAAAAATGGTGTCAACTACTTTATTAAGTGGTGTAGAACCAATAATTTAAGGAATTTTAGCTTATTTTCACACCAAAAATGGTGGCAACTACTTCATTAAGTGGTATAGAACCAATAGTTTAAAGAATTTTAGCTTATCTTAACACCAAAAATGGTGGCAACTACTTTATTAAGCTGTGAAGAACCAATAATTAAAGAATTTTATTTTATCGTAGCATTAAAAATGGTGGCAGCTACTTTATTAAGTGGTGTAGAACCAATCATTTAAAGAATTTTAGCTTATCTTAACACCAAAAATGGTGACAATTACTTTATTAAGCTGTGAAGAACCAATAATTAAAGAATTTTATTTTATCGTAGCACTAAAAATGGTGGCAGCTACTTTATTAAGTGGCGCAGAACCAATCATTAAATTTAGCTTATCTTAACACCAAAAATGGTGTCAATTACTTTATTAAGTGGTGTCGAACCAATAATTCAAGGAATTTCAGTTTATCTTAACACCAGAAATGATGGCAACTATTTTATCATAAATTTGTGTAAAACCAAGCACAGTTACCGGGGTAATGAAATGCCAAGAGTGTTATTTTACACTACTCGGTGTAAAGTAACTGCCACCATTTTTGGTATTCTGTAACACTAATATTTGCTCCAACGGTAAAATAATATACACATAAGAATCAATGAAATTATTTTCAAGAGACATTATGAAGTAAGAATGATTCGTTTGAAATGCTTTTGTATAATGCGCCAAAAAATGGACCATCCTAAATAACTTTTAATCTAAAGATCGGATCTTCGCGTTCTAGGACTCATTTTTAATGGTTTGAGGGGGTGACCTCTACTATGCTACTTGATTAGTGCAGACGATATTTCAAATTACGAAATTAGACACAAAAATGTGCTTTCTCTGAATAAACATAAATTTTTTTCAGCGGAATCGCATTTTTGGTCTCCAAAATATAAGGGGTAGGCGAAATATAGGAAATATAGTCTCAATTGCGCAAACATAATACATTTTTACATTATTAAATACACAATTGTGAACTTCTGTTTCTGTTGGTGCATAGCAACATTGTAACAAGTAAACAACAAACTCAATCCCACTCTTAATAGACTGTTAATATTCTGCAGACGATATAAAAAGTATGGTAATATTAGTGTTTTCAGAAGCTTTAATGTTTGGTGTGAAAGCGCATGAGCATATCGTTAAATTCTACGTTTTTTAGATTTAAATTACAATCTTTAAATACTGCATGAAGGCTCTAAGTGGCGTTAACTTGAAAAAGAGTGTTCCTTCGTGCATTTTTTTAGTCATTCAGAATCAATTTCGGAGAGATAGTCTTTCTAGCCGAATAGAATCAGTTACATACAGAAATATGTATTTTGCTGGGATTAAATTTTCCATTAAATTCCCCTATGAAGTAAAGTAATACTAATTAATAGAAAAAACAAAACAAAAATTAATAAAAAAGAAAACAAAGAAACAGGAAGAAGATTATAAATAAATAGGAAATGTATAGATTTATAAAAATCTAAATACTTGTTTTAGAATAAATTATTTCTAAAAGAGTATTATTAAATATTTTCTAAATCTAACAATATTTAAAATTTCAATGAATCCATTTTTTATTAAATCGTAGTTTATTCTTCATATTTTATATATTATTCACATATTTTTATATAGTTTATTCTACATATAATATTTTGCTTGAGTCAAATATTTATCTGTTGAAAAATGTAATTTTCGTAAGAAAAATATTTATTGAATTAAAATCTTAGATTCCACAGCAGTCATATGGATGCATTCTTTCGCTTGATACTTGCAACCGTTCCCTACCTCTCTGCACAACGCTAGATAGAATCGATTGTTTCCAGGAATTTTAATAATCACAAACATAGATAAAAGAGCAACGTATCATTACTAAGTGTAGTGGTAATGCACTCTTTATCGTCGCAGATGATAATTTGCTTTTTAAAAGCAGAGGTAGCGATTAAATATTTTTTAAGCTACACTCCAAGGAAAATGAACAGTGAAAAGAGAGAGTTTGTTTNAAAACCAATAGTTTAAAGAATTTTAGCTTATCTTAACACCAAAAATGGTGGCAACTACTTTATTAAGTGGTGTAGAACCAATAATTTAAAGAATTTTTGCTTATTTTAACACCAAAAATGGTGGCAACTACTTCATTAAGTAGTGTAAAACCAATAGTTTAAAGAACTTTAGCTTATTTTAACACCAAAAATGGTGGCAACTACATTATTAAGTGGTGTAGAACCAATAATTTAAAGAATTTCAGCTTATTTTAACACCAAAAATGGTGGCAACTACTTCATTAAGTGGTGTAGAACCAATAGTTTAAAGAATTTTAGCTTATCATAACACCAAAACTGGTGGCAACTACGTTATTAAGTGGTGTAGAACCAATAATTCAAGGAATTTTAGTTTATCTTAACACCAGAAATGGTGGCAACTATTTTATCACAAATTTGTGTAAAACCAAGCACAGTTACCGGGGTAAGGAAATACAAAGAGTGTTATTTTACACTACTGCAGACCGGCTTGTGTAGGGGGCAGGGAACTGTCCTTGCATTAGAAAGGTTCTGGGTTCGAATCCCGGGCAAGGCATGGATGTTTCTTTCTCTCTATTTGTGTTCTATGTCCTTTCTCCTTTGTGTGTGAATGTGACCCGCCCTATAAACGGGTTGTGGTAGTGTGACGTGGGCGACGCTGCTCCACCGCCGTGGCTTCGCCACCGGTGCCCACTGGGTAACGAAAAGAGAGTTAGCAGTTCTGGCACTTTCTGTGGCCAATGGACAATAGTTCCAAGTGCCCGCCATTAAAAAAAATTTACACTACTCGGTGTGAAGTATCTGCTACCATTTTTGGTATTCTGTAACACCAATATTTGCTTCAACGGTAATATAATATACACATAAGAATCAATGAAATTATTTTCAAGAGACATTATGAAGTAAGAATGATTCGTTTGAAATGCTTATGTATAATGCTCCAAAAAATGGACCATTCTAAATAACTTTTAATCTAATGATCGGATCTTCACGTTCTAGGACTCAATTTTAATGGTTTGAGGGGGTGACCTCTACTATGCTACTTGATTAGTGCAGACGATATTTCAAATTACGAAATTAGACACAAAAATGTACTTTCTCTGAATAAACATAATTTTTTTTCAGCGGAATCACATTTTTGGTCTCCAAAATATAAGGGGTAGCCGAAATACAGGAAATATAGTCCCCATATTTTAATTGCGTAAACATAATACATTTTTACATTATTAAATACACAATTGTGAACTTCTGTTTATGTTGGTGCATAGTAACATTGTAAAAAGTAAACAACAAACTCAATCCAACTCGTAATAGACTGCTAATATTCTGCAGACGATATAAAAAGTATGGTAATATTAGTGTTTTCAGAAACTTTAATGTTTGGTGTGAATGCGCATGAGCTTGGCGTAAACTTCTACGTTTTTTAGATTTAAATTACACTCTTCAAATAATGCATGAAGGCTCTAAGTGGCGTTAACTTGAAAAAAAGTGTTCCTTCTTACATTTTTTTAGTCATTCAGAATCAATTTCGGAGAGATAGTCTTTCTAGCCGGATAGAATCAGTTACATACAGAAATATGTATTTTGCTAGGGTTAAATTTTCCATTAAATGCCCCTATGAAGTGAAGTATTACTAATTAATAGAAAAAACAAAGCAAAAATTAATAAAAAAGAAAACAAGGAAACAGGAAAAAGATTATAAATAAATAGGAAATGTATGGATTTATAAAAATCTAAATACGTGTTTTAGAATAAATTATTTCTAAAAGAGTATTATTAAATATTTTCTAAATCTAACAATATTTGAAATTTCAATGAATCCATTTTTTATTGAATCGTAGTTTATTCTTCATATATATTATTCGCATATTTTTATATAGTTTATTCTACATATAATATTTTGCTTGAGTCAAATGTTTATCTGTTGAAAAATGTAATTTTCGTAAGAAAAATATTTATTGAATTAAAATCTTAGATTCCACAGCAGTCATATGGATGCATTCTTTCGCTTGATACTTGCAACCGTTCCCTACCTCTCTGCACAACGCTAGATAGAATCGATTGTTTCCAGGAATTTTAATAATCACAAACATAGATAAAAGAGCAACGTATCATTACTAAGTGTAGTGGTAATGCACTCTTTATCGTCGCAGATGATAATTTGCTTTTTAAAAGCAGAGGTAGCGATTAAATATTTTTTAAGCTACACTCCAAGGAAAATGAACAGTGAAAAGAGAGAGTTTGTTTTTACGTGGAAAATAGAAAATTTTTCTTTTCGAGGAGAAAGACACAAAGAGGAATATATAAAAAGTCCGGAATTCCAAGCGGAATGTCTAGGCCAAACACGGTGGACAATATATTTTTGGCCCAAAGAAAATTCAAACGTGTCTTATTGTAGACTATGTTGCTTAAACACCAAAAATGAAACATCTAATACTTTAAAGCTATATGATATATCGAAAAACAAAAATGTTGGAAAAGATGTTATAGGTTACCGATTTGAATTACTTTACAACAATGGTGTGCTTTTTCGTTCCTCTAGAATTAAGACTTTTGAAGACGGAATGAATGAATTTATATATTTCAAAGATATAGGTTTAGACAGGGATATGGAAGATTTACCAGAAGATATTGTAATAATCCGTTGCGTTCTAATGAGAATGAAAGAAGATAGCTCCAGTGAGAACTTCAACAGTTTTCTTGAAAATCATAGAGCTGACGAAGCGAAGTCTGATTGCGAATGCAACTCTATTTGCGGAGTCGATACTTTTACTTTTATGCATAAATATCTACGCACTTTGGAGGGAGAAAAGGTTATACCGTCGTCTACAAGATTCGGTGTTAATTTCTCGGTGAATAGGGATGGAAGAGTGTATGTTTCATTCTGCATAAAAAATTCTCAGGATGTAATTCTTGTATCTTGCAAAATATCATTCATTCGTCCAGATGGTGCAGTAGCATTCGTTTCGAAGGAGATTCCCCGATTAATTTACGTCACATCGAGTCGAAAGGAATGGTTCGATATAGGAAGAATGGAAGACGGATATTATTTAAAATGTGAGATAAAATCTTCGAATTCAATTCGACTCGATAACCTAAGCTATTCACCTGCTTGCATATCAAATGCAGCTGAGAGTTCGGCTCACACCAGAGAAAATAGTGAAATTCTAGGCAATGCAGCTGAAGCTCTTATTTCAGGAAGAATTTCAATTTCAAGGCAAACTGAAGAAAGCAATGTAGACTTCAAATCGCCAGAATTAATGAAAGCTGTTCATTCGCCGTTGCAAGATGACTTATGCAAAATATTAAGGAATGAAAAATTTGCGGATGTGACGTTGAAGTCAGAAAATCTAATTATGCCAGCCCATAAAGTTCTTCTGGCCGCACGATCACCCGTATTTTCCGCTATGTTTGATCAAGATATGCTGGAGAGTCAATCAGGTACTATTTATTTATCAGATGTTGATGTAGAGACACTTAAAATGTTTTTAAAATACATTTACACAGACACCGTTGAAATGAAGAGCCATGAAAATGTCATCAAACTGATGGTAATTGCTGATAAGTATCAAGTTATACCACTTAAAGAGGAATGTTCTGCTTACTTGAAGACCATCTTGTCTGATGAAAATGTTTGCGATGTAATTGCTATTGCCGATATGGTAAATCAAGAAGATTTAAAGTTGTGCGCTATGGCGTATATCAAAGCTAATGCTTCGAAAATCCTATCTGCTTCAAATTGGAATCAATGGTTGAGGCAGAATTTAGAATTGGCAGCTGAAATTGTAGCAGCAGTGTCTTCTGTATTAGTAAATACAGATTGTAAGAGTGCATCCAGCTAATCTGTTAGGTAAGTTTTGAATGTTTCTATTCCTCGTTTTTGATTGAAAATGTCGGTGGTAAAAAGTAATAACCCACATCTTTTAAAAATTGTACTTTCGTGTTGTAAACAATTAACAACCAACAATATCTTTTTTTCTGTTCAAATTAGATTAATAATTGTTCAAATTAGATTAATAATGTCACCAAACCGGTGCCGTATCTTTTTCGCGTTGGTAACAAAAAGCTGAAGTTGTAAATATAAAATCTAGTGAGTAGTCATTACCAGGTAAAAGATTATAAACAGCTAAACAGTATAGCAGAGTTGGCCGTCGATTACAGTAATTGATCACAGATAATTACAGCTATGTAATCAATTACTTGTAATCACTATTACAAGTAATCGCAATTTCAAGTAATCAAAATTTTTGATTACATCAGAGTAGAACAAATATGTAATCGATTACATTTGCCAATTACAGTAATCAATTACTCGTAATCATGGTTACAAAGTTTGATTACAACTGTAATGATGATTACAATAGTCAATTACAGTAATCAATTACTTGTAATCATGATTACAAACATTCATAATTTTGATTACAACTGTAATTGCGATTACATAATCAATTACTGTAATCAATTACTTGTAATCGTGATTACAACTTTGATTACAGCTGTAATCGTGATTACNGCAACAAACTCAATCTCACTCGTAATAGACTGTAAATATTCTACAGATGATATAAAAAGTATGGTAATATTAGTGTTTTCAGAAGCTTTAATGTTTGGAGTGAATGGCGCAACCTTCTACGTTTTTCAGATTTAAATTACACTCTTTAAGTAATGCATGAAGGCTCTAAGTGGTGTTAACTTGAAAAAAAGTGTTCCTTCGTACATTTTTTTTTAGTCATTCAACATCAATTTCGGAGAGATAGTCTTTCTAGCCGGATAGAATCAGTTACATACAGAAATATGTATTTTTCTAGGTTAAATTTTCTACTAAATGCCCCTATGAAGTAAAGTATTACTAATTAATAGAAAGAGCAATGAAAAGAAATAAAAAAAGAAGCAGAAAAAAGTTTATAATTAAATAGATTTATAAAAATTTAAATACGTGTCTTAGAATAAATTATTTTCAAAAGAGTATTTTTAAATATTTTTCAAATCTAAAAATATAAATTTTAATGAATCCATTTGTTATTGAATCATAATTTATTCTTCGTATTATATTTTGCTGTCATATTATCATATAGTTTATTCTAGTTATAATATTTTGCATGATCCAAGTATTTATCCATTGAAAAATTTAATTTTCATAAAGAAATTATTGAATTAAAATTTTAGATTCCACAGCAGTCATATGGATGCGTTCTTTAGCTTGATACTTGCAACCGTTCTCTACCCCTCTGCACACCCCCAGATAGAATAGATTGTTTCCAGGAGTTTTTATCATCCCAAGCATAGATAAAAGAGCAGCATATCATTACTAAGTGTAGTGGTAATGCATTATTAATTTGCTTTATAAAGCAGAGGTAGAGATTAAATATTTTTTAAGCTATACTCCAAAAAAGAAAAAAAAATGAATAGTGAAAAGAGAGAATTTGTTTTTACGTGGAGAATCGAAAATGTTTCGTTTGGAGAGAGAAGATACATAAGAAGTCCAGAATTCCAGGCAGAATGTCTTGGCCAAACACGGTGGACAGTAGGGTTTTGCCCCTTAGGATATCAGAACGAGTCTTCTTGTAGACTATGTTGCTTAAATGGCAATAGTGAAACATCTAATACTTTGGAGTTATATGGTATATCGAAAAGCAAAAGTGTTGAAAAAGATGTTATAGGTTACCGATTTGAATTACATGATATCAATGGTGTGCTTTTTCGTTCCTCTAGCATTCAGACTTTTATAGATGAATGGTATCATAATGAATATATATGTCTCAAAGATATAGGTTTAGACAGGGATATGGAAGATTTACCAGAAGATATTATAATAGTTCGTTGCGTTTTAATGAGAATGAAAGTCGATAGCTCCAGTGAGAACTTCAACAGTTTTCTTGAAAATCAAAGAGCTGACGAAGCGAAGTCTGATTGCGAATGCAACACTATTTACGGAGTCGATACTTTTACTTGCACCTATAAAGATTTACGCAATTTGGATGGAGAAAAGGTTGTACCGACGCCTACAAGATTCGGTGTTAATTTCTCGGTGAATAAGGATGGAGGAGTGTATGTTTCATTCTACACAAAAAAAGCCCAGGATGTAATTTATGTATCTTTCAAAATATCATTAATTTGTCCGGATGGTACATTAGCAAAAGTTTTACTGGATACTCCCGCACAATATCTCGAATCAGTTGGATTACTCGAATCAGTTGACGGCAAGGGAGCAATAACCCATGATCCGTCTACCACTGAGGATATTTCACGTCAGAACTGTGGTCGGTGCAGGCTGGTTGCGGAATTCGTTTCGAACAGTCATCGCCGGGGTCGAAACCCGGTTCACTTCATTGGATGGCGAACGCTCTATCCCTAGAGGCATCGCGGCTCCCTCAGAGGTATTGATTTGTTATGGGAATTTGAAGAATTTTGTGACCCGTCAGGTTTGATGCGCATCAGTCGCTATTATATGCACGGAGATTCTTCTGTCGGCGAGATTCAAACTCCCGTTCTCACAAACATGAGCCCAACACCCTACCAACCGTGCTATTCTGATACTGAAAAAAACCTTTTTAACAACCTATTATTATTTTACTTCATTCATACATTGGTTGTACTTTTTCTTTAAAAAAAGTGCCACTATACTTTTTAGCTTATTGATTTAAAAATGATATTTTTTTCATAGAACTGTTTGGATAAGCTTCATTCATTATTTCGCATTATAGTAACAAACAAAAATAGAGCAGATGATTTTAAATTTTTCATTACGCTTTTTACAAGCAGCAAGTTCGAGTTAAGAAAAGCACAATGGTACAACTTGTAGTTTTTAAAAGATTGTTGATACTTGGAAATTACTGTTTCTTAAAACATCACATTTTATCCGTAAATTGGCATTATGTTTTAAAAAAATCCTTCCTTCTATTTTCATTGTATTTTTAAAATATTTTCTTTTATAGTATGTTCAATGCGAGGAAAAAAATGAATAAAGAAAGGAATAACCTTTAATCTAATGATTGGATTTTCTACTTGAACTCTATTTTAATGATTTAACCTTAAATATGTTAATTATTTTGAACAGATGATATTTTAAGTTACAAAATCAGGCATAAAGATGTGCTGCGATACTTTTTTGAGGGGTTCAGATTCATGGCCGTCAAAACATGCGGCTGTAAGCGCTGTTTGGAGAACATGGTATAGGCAGGTGGACAGTCAAAAGTTGGGACCTTTTATTGCTAATTTTACTTTTTTACTTTTTTCGAAAAATTTATTAAAAATCTAGCAATTTAATTTAATTTAATTTAATTTAATTTAATTTAATTTAATTTAATTTAATTTTAATTTGGTTATTCTAACTAACTTTATCTTTATTTATATTTCTTATGTGTAGACGAGTCATTATCAGTATTTTCTCAGTGTACATTTGACATGTGCTTTTTGTGTATCATTAAATTTTCATATTTAAATTTTTGATTCCATTTTCTTACTTAGTTTATCCATTATGGGGCCTCGGGGCACGGTCAGTCTTAGATTTAAACACTAACTACAGAAAAGCTCCAGTGTGTTAGCACACAGTGTGTCCCGTGATGAAGTGCTCTTTAATAATTTTTTTCATAATTCAAATTTTAACAAAATCAACCATAAAAATTTTGCACTACATTAGAAATTTTATAAAAATTATATATATATATTTTCTTTTTGTGTTTAAAATGAGTAGTAATCATGCAAAATTTAGGATATGCGAATTAAACTTTTATCAAAAATTGATATCTTAGAAAAAATTGATAACAAACAAAGCATATTGTTATCATAAAATAAGAAACTAACAGTCGTGAGCTCGACTGTAGATTCATGGATAACCATAGATTGATAAAGAAAAGGGAGTTTCATTTTGTGTATATTGTATTTTTAAATTAGTGCATATGTATTTAAACTTGTCCTTCAGTTGCCATGCTTGCTAACTATGCAATAAAAGAATAAAAATCAATAATTTTGAACTTAAAAAGGACCTTCTTCAATGACAAATAAATCTTTGAAGAATTGAAGAGAGGTTATTAAGTATATGTTTCAATTCTATAAAAATCAATTTTATTAAAACCAGTGGAAAATAATCGTTTCTATCAAATATAGAAACAAAAATCGTTATCGTATACGTATAGGTCATTGTTTTTTACTTTCTATTTTAAAATGAGGAACGAAACATTAGCAGTAAATAAAAAATATCTAGAATGTCAATGTTTTTTATAAGTATATTCTATTTTTCAATGTCAATTGTAAATTTTTTCTCGGGAATCAATTCGGAGAAAAAAAAAGGGGTGGGGGAGGTACATTCAGAATATTTCTTCAAGGCGATTATAGATGCATAATCAGTTTTGAAAACTCATTTTAGAATTTAATCGAGAATTTGTAAGAAATTTGTGATTTTCAGTATTCTTATATGAATTCTTTGATGATACAGTAAAAAAAGAGGACTGCTAAACTGCCTAATTTGTCATTAAATTGTAATTGTCCATTATAATCACTAGAGATAATTAAATAAAATTAGATTGCTTTGATTATTTAAATTTTAGAGTCTACAGCAGTCATCTGGATCCCCTCTTTTGCTTGATATCTGCAACCGTTCCCTACCCCTCTGCACACTGCTAGATAGAACCGATTGTTTCCAGTTTTCATCATCGCAAATATAGATAAAGGAGCAGCATATCATTACTAAGTGTAGTGGTAATGCACTCTTTATCATCGCAGATCATAACTAGCTTTTTAAAAGCAAAAGTAGAGATTAAATATTTTTTTAAGCTACACTCCAAAGAAAATGAGCAGTAAAAAGAGAGAGTTTGTTTTTACTTGGAGAATCGAAAATGTTTCGTTTGGAGA